ATCTTGGGATTATATTTAAGTAATTTAGATAAGTATTTTCCATAAGTAGAATAGATTTTGCCATTGCCATTGCCATTAACAAAATCCAAATATTCATAATTTCAAAGTTCCCACGAAGAAATTCTCGGAATAATTGAAAACGCCTATATCCCCTAATCTAAGCGATGCTTTCGGAATATTGTTAGTTACCTAGGTATATTCAAATATTTTTTCCTTTTTTTATTTGAATAGAAAAAATAAAAAGCAATTAATTAATTATTCCTTGAAGTTTATTTTCCTTTTTATATTTATAAATTAGATTCGGATAGTATATCTATTTATTTATATCGATTTCCTAAATATCGAGAGAATTGATGATGAGAATGATGATTTGTTGATGCAAACCGTCAAAAATGGGGAAATGAAATTTAAAGCTCATCGAAATTTGGAAAGTATTGGCATTCTTCCACACTCAATACTGACAAAATCCTGGGATGTCAATATAGATCTGGATGTAATATACACACCCAACTAAATCTGCACAAAATTGGACAGAGGTAGTAACAAGAGAACACTCTTCCTCCTCGTCAAGGTCCGCGAGCCAAAGACCAGATTGCATGTCATTGAAATGCATTTTTGGAACCTTAATTTCCAAATCAGAACCGTACAAATAGCCTGGTCTTCCTGTCCTTTCTCATTTGTAAATAGGAAACAGTACTGTACAACGAGAGATTCTCGATGTTAGACCACGTCATACGAACCCCGCACTTTCACCCCCAGTTGAACTTTCAACCTATCACTCTCGTAAATCCCAAGGTAATGTCACTTCAAAACCTGCATTTAGAGCTCATTCAATTGGTACAAATGCAAAGCTTGATATTTCGCCTACATAAAGCCCACTAATTCACTCTAAGCACCAAAGCACTTCTCATACCCAACCATTGTAAACCTATATCTGACATCATTGTTATGCAACCTCGTCAACGCTGTCTTCAATCCCTCCTCATTAATATCAATCGTCTCCACCCAACTCTTAATTCCCTTCTCAACTGCCAAATCCAACATGGCGAGAACTTCTTTCCTGCTGCCCAAATGACTTCCTCCGAGGAGTACACCGTTCTTCAACAGTTGGAAGTTATCAATGGTTTGGCCTTCGCCTTCAGGTAATCCAACAGATACCCAGTGTCCGTGAACGTCGAGAAGCTCGAGATATTCGGCCAAATTGAAGCCGGAAGATGAGGAGGCAGTGTTGACGATCAAGTCAAAGGTCATGATGTGCTCTTTGTTCCAATCCTTGTCGGCAGTGGCGAGGAAGCCGTCGGCGCCGAGTTTCTTGGCATCGGCTTCTTTGGCATGGGTTCTGTTTGTAAGTACAGATTAGTATCTTTCTCATCTCAGGAACTTCATGAGGAACTGGGTGGGCGATATCAACATACCTCGAAATAACCCAGGTCTCGGCTCCCAAAGCCTTAGCAAACATAACTCCAAAATGTCCAATTCCACCCAACCCCACAATACCCACCTTCTTTCCTGGTCCACAGCCATTTCTGACCAACGGACTATACGCTGTCAAGCCAGCACACAACATAGGAGCTGCCTGTTCACTCTTTAATCCGTCTGGGATGGGGAAGACCCAATGTTCATGAGTTCTAACGTGACTAGCATAACCACCCTGGGAAACGATTCCAGTTTCTGGCCAGACGGCTCCATAGGTATCGAGCTGATGGCGACAGTATGTTTCATTATCATTCTTGCATTGACGGCATTGGAGACAAGAGTATGATTGGGCGCCGACACCGACACGTTGACCGGGTTTGATGAGAGTTACTTTTGGGCCGACACGGAGGGCTTCACCTACGATTTCTAAGGACAGATTGAGAACGTTAGTATATTTTCATTCTTTCACAACTATCCAATTGAGCTCTCGCTCATCCGATTTTCCCTCAAGCCCAAAATTGGAAACGTAAAACGGTAGAAAGAGAAACGGGGAAACCATACCATGCCCCACACAGAGCGGAAACTTTTGTTCACCCCACCCTCCACTAACAGTGTGCAAATCACTGGCGCAAACACCACAGGCCTGGATTTTGATATCGACATCGTAGTCACCGAATGGTTTGGGTGTATATTCATTCTTGTGAAACTCGGTCCATTTCTTAGGATCTTCAATTTGGAATCCGGTGAAAGTGTCTGGGTATCCCATTTTCGTATAATCTGTAGAGATGAGTTTTGGAGGGGTATATATTGGGGGGTATTTAAACAGAGGAGTGTGTTAAAGACCGAGATAGACGATATGAAGAGTGGTATGAGGAAACAGGAGAAGGGGAAGAGAGAGAGGAAAGTGAGAAAGGAATCTCTGAATAATAAATACTTCCTTATACACCCGCCAAGGCATCTCCATTTTCCCCCCATCCATGGGGAGAATCATGGGGGGGCATATGGAGGGTTTACAATCCCCATTTAGGGGCCATTCACCCCACCATCCCAGCGGGGTTGATAATTTGGATTTATCTCATCAAATAGATTAATGGCATTGAGATTTTTTTCCGGGGTCGTTGTCGTGGGATGTTCATTTTATCCGTCGCCGGGGAAGTCTCGTTTGATACGTGGATCTCAATGCGGCTGCTTATTTTTCCACCACTTATAATGCGAAATTGGGGGAAATTTCATCATGGTACATAGTAGTACTGGTGGTACATAACATTCGCGGCAGATGCTAATTCACATGTCGGTAATATCTAGATCTCAATCAACTCACTTAATAACATGTTATTAAATTGAAATATAGAATTATACTTTCTGAACAAGAACTAGTGATTTATTTAGTTGAGAAAAAAACTATACTAAAAGCTTCATTTTCGCTACCCCTGAAGTCGCAGATCCATTTCGCAAGACAAAGACACGTTTATTATCTACAGCGATCGTACACAGTTGTAAAGATCATTCCAAATGTAGCATAAAGGTTCATTGGAAAAATTGAAAAGCTTAGCAATATGTAAAGGTTGTAAAAAAACCCAGCTAAGTTCTATTAGTTTTGATGTTTCGATCGTTGCTTAAGTTTTCTCCAGATTTTGCGAAGTCAAGAATTGGGCCTCCCCTTATCAATTGCGATTCTTGAAGACACAATCGAACCGGCCTGCTTTAGCAAATGTAACTATTATTATGATCAGTTATAAACAGTAAAAAGCCGAAAGGGGAGATTTTTCATACTTCCTTCAAAGTCATAATTCTTTGCCTTAAAGCTTCACAATATCCGACATTATATTACTAACAATAACTAATATAGCTGTAGAATATAGCTTAGTATCTATCTCGGAGTTCAAATACTTCAACATTCAATTACGCATATATATATGAAGACTGTCCTGTCCTGACTGTGCTTCAGTTTCAACCCCAACAAGGGAAGACTCTCGCATTCGTGTAATTTTTACTACTTGTGTTCCGAATCGCAGCGGAGTGGTATCATGCTTGTCGTGATCAGAGACTGCAAAGACGAAGACTTGATCATGTTCTTTAAAACATTTTCAATGCTGACCAAGGGGAGATGGTTGAAGCAAGAGGAAGATGACCCAGGCCACAAAACCTATACTATCACGGTGCCCGGGATATTGTTATTATTGTTATCATTGTGATTTTCGTCTCGTAGGAACCTCCCTGGGGGTATAAGAGACGTGTTAGGCTAGTTACAGAGGAATAGACAAAAGAAAAACATCAATCTGATCCTCCAAGCTATCTAACAGATCTGCGAGCTTCGCTTTAGCCCCTGTGGGCTCTTCCTGGCGATCCTTCCCCGTTGTTTGCGAAGGTCAGTCTGTATCTTTCAAGCTTTTTTCGAAGGTGGGTGATCAGTGGAATATGTATGTGCGCTTCCTTTTGCTCTTTTTGTGGTAGCGGTGCATTCAGCATCCGGGTGTTTATGGCGGCTGTTCCCTCGCGCCTAGTAGACTTGCGCCTAGTTGCACAAGTTGCGATCTGGTGTTTTTATAGTTGGTTTGAGATCGGGTGGGAAAGCTAAATGTTAGTAAGGGGGGCAAGTGATCCGGGGGATGTGCGGGAGCAGCGCATCCACCTGTTGAATTTTGGATGCTGGCCGCTTCGGTGTTCCAGTTAGCACCCCCGTCCTCCTTATTGCTCTTATCGCCCTTCCTACTAGAGGGTGTTTGTTATCCACAGTTTTAAGGCGGAAGGCTAAGCGTAGTCTAGGTTCCTCAACTGCCACTCTTCCGGATGGAAGCCCAGCGTCTCTAAAGAGGGTGGCATTTGGGCAGGTCCTCCATACCGGGAGTACCCCTCGGGCCGCCGCTGCAATTTTCCTTTCCACTGTTTGTACATATTATTCCTTGCCCGCCCGGACTGTAGGGTTATTTGCCTTTTTTTTCTCTCCGTACCCGTTGTGGGGATAGGTGTCACCAACGACTAGCGTACCATATTCTCGGGATTTAAAAGGATCAAGGCGCTCGCATGAGATATTCGGCCGAAGTTGATGCGAAAGAGCGAGAACGCCGAGCTGACCTCAACTGCTTGTGACCACCGACGGTTAGCATACTATGTGTGCCACTTGGAACGTCCTGTTCCAACACCAATCTCAGCAATCTTAGGGTCTTTTGATGTAGTTGGGATACTAGGATGAAGTAGGTAATTTAGTCCGTCTTTCCATAGGTAATGTTGTAATGTAGTTCTTTTCACAGAGTCAATACCAGCCTTAGTCGAAGCAAAAAGGACATTAGTCTGTACTTTATACATTCGTCGAGGAAAATTCTTGAGTTGGCCTGGATCTAATACTCATGCAAAAGCTAACGCATCCGGATGCGCGCTGAAGCAGAAGATATATTGGTTGCCGGCGTAGTACCTAATCTGGAAGTGCTGATCCACTAGGCTGGTTGTATAATATCAGAGCATAGGTATGCAATGTAACTGAAAAAGTGATCAAATTCAATTGGGTGTCAATATTTGCAACTACTATGACAGAAAACTTCAAACAAACATCCAGCGAAATGCTTGCAACGCATATCTGCGGTTACTCAAAACTTCTCTCCTGCAGCTCTTCTCAAGGCTTCCGCTGTCCATTCTGGATGACTGATCATGAAGCAGTGGCCACCCTCCTTGAGACTTTCTACAACATCAAAAGCGGTCGGATTCATCATTTTCACCACCTCGGGTGTGAAAGAACTCTGATCAGCCTCGCCATACAAGAAAGTTGAGGGAACATCCAACCAGGCCGCATAGGTTGCAGTGCTGAAGTATACACCGAGACTTTGAGGGAGGAGTTCGGGAATTAACTTGTCTGCCTTTTCGGATGAGATGTCGTTATAGAAGATTCTCTTGGCATCTTCTGGCTCAACAGTGAAAACCTCATTCTGCGGAGAAGAATGTAATTAGTTATGAATTTCGTTGACTGTAGGTACGAAAAATTACTTCATGAGTTGGGTCCGGGTTGGTTGTCTTACCTCGGTATCAAGTTTCATCCAGTCAGGCATTTTAGCATAATCACCCTTCGCTGCCGCCTGGAAGCTCGGAGGAGTTGCGAATCCATTGATGACTACATATCTAATGAGACCACCTTTCAAGCCTTTGGCTTCTTGATCTTTCTTGGAGAGACCCTTGGGAGCTTCGCCTCCGGGAAGACCTGTTTAGGAGTGAACGACAAGAACGACATCCTTGCCAGCGGAGACAAGTTCAGTCAAGCGTTCTCGGATGCTATTTGCATCACCATTAAAGTCTTGGTGAGATGGCTTGGCGCCGGCAGAGGGTAAGGCAAGGCTGACGGTGGGATATCCGTGCTTCTCGAGAGATTGCGCGACTTTGGAGTAAATGAGGGGCTTGTGCCATGCACCAGGAACCATAACGATAATTGGCTTTGACATGATGAATTCTTTGATGAAATATTGTATGTTGAAGAGAGATGGAGATGAGGAATGACGAGAAAGTATGCCGATAGAGGGGGTGTGGGATGGCAGTTGATAAACCACAATTTTCAACAATAAAACCAATAAAATACATGCCCAGTGGTCAGATTTTCATGGGTCACGCCGACTAGCTGTGCATCGTGCTGCAAATCCGTTTGGTATGTGGTATCGCCAACCTGGCTACCTAGGTAGGTAGTTAAAATAATTTTGACAAGCTCTGACCACCCTTTCTAGGCCATACGGAGTAGTAAGGTTCACTGGTGGGTGGTTTGTGTATATGATGCAACCTCACGTCGTGTAAGCATCAATATGACCTCAATTTCTTTGAAAGTCGTTAGATTCTCCAACTCGATACCAACCGGCCGACGCTTCAAGCAATTCTGCAGTTCCACAAATTCTGTAGCTAGATTTGGGCGGAACAATTTACGATCCTTGATTCCCAAAGCAGTGCTGACTGCAACATGTAATTTTGACAACCAATCGACCCGTGCAATATAGGTTTTCCAACTAGATACCAATTGCATCTTGTAGTAGCTTTACTGCGACTCTACAGGATAGCCAACTACAGCCTGCAAGGATATTTGTAAATCATTTCCAACTCAATACTAACTGAATCATGCAAACGCTTCCAACCTCCAAAATCAATGTTAGGGACACTATTTCCTTGAGCAATTTCCGGTCTTTATTCCAAACATGTTGCCAACAATATTGTATCAAAATTGAACATTCTTGAAGAATATGAGAGTTTTCCAAGTAAATAAGAGGATGCTGAAGCGCAGCCCCTGGGTTCCGTTTGGTCTATCTGTCTACTATACTCTTACAACATCCATTAAAAAGAAAACCTGAGCACTCAGATGACTTCCCCCAGCCCTTTGAAAGTGTGTAGCCACCTAGCGCTGTGCATGCCAATTGCAAAGTCCCTCCTTGTAACCACCAGAACGCACAAACCCCAAAATCTCCGATTCCATTCAAGCATTATAACCATCCTACGCCGTATAAATTCCTTGTCAAAGCATGATGCATCAATGCTTTTCCCTAATAAGCTCACCCATAACTCCATAGTTTCCCTTGAAACTTGTTGAGCCTGGAACCAGAGAACTCCCACACTAATAACACACCTTCGATGAATTAAAGCCCATATCATACAAATTCCGTAATCTTAAAAAATCATGATCCATCAAATAAACCTCAAATCACTTGAATCCTCGAAACTTTCTCCTTGCCTTCCCCTTTTTTCCTTTTGCAGCTGGAGTAGTCCCGTTCATTTCACTTGGGCCGTCTTGAACACCAGCTAAAGCTTTGACATCCTCATCATCCATTTCGCTGAGGTCATCGCTTGTGTGAGAGCCATTCGTATTTTCGACTGGAACTTCTTGCAAGACACTAGTTCCTTCAGGCTGGAAATCCTTAACATACCAAGGAATGCCCCCATTATTGAGCACGTCTGCGCCATCCGTATTGTTTTCACCATTCGAAACTGGTGGTGTTGGTGGGGTAGGCTGATTGTCTTCTGGAGTAGAAGAATAGCCATTGGTATCAGGTGGCGTAATGCCATCACCATTTGTAGTGTGCGTTCCAATACCATTGTTAAGAAGTTGTGGATCAATCAAGTGGTCCGTGTCGGAAATAGTAGCAGACGCAACATGGATGACATCCTCGACATCATGCTCCGCATCAGCATCGGCATCGGCATCTGGCATATTTGTATCTATGACTTCAGCATTTGCAACAGGAATTTGCCCGCGTTCTACCATCCCGGTATCTAGAGTCTCGGGAGCAATCTCTTGTGATTGTGCAACGTCGACCATGTGTTCGTCTTGCGATGGCTCTGGCGCTTCAACATCCGCAAAGGCATCAGATGAGCTGTTCGAACCTTCAGCAGGAAGTAGACAGTTTTCTAGTAAGACACTCAGCACTTTTAGCTGATCCTCAGGCCTAGTCTTAACAACATCACACTCGGCTCGAATTGCAGCCTCTAACATAGGCTGAACAGCCTTGATAATGCGTCTTCCGATTTTGCGGCGATTTTGCACGTTTAAATTTACCGATTTGGAGGATGTCTTTTCGATATCCGCAGCCATATGCTCTTTCTGTTCACCTTGCGGGGTATCTTCCATAATAGCAGCAGTGATGGTGGAACTGAAGTCTTTCGCAAATGCCCCCGTAGTAGTATAAAAGCGTTGACTGAGCTTGTCGCTGAGTCGACTGAGACCACCGGTAAACGCCTTTTTGCTATCGATTCTGCGGTTTATTAGCTTTTGTCGCCCCCATAATAGGGCGAAACCTTACTGTAAAGCCCTTTCAATGACCGGAGGCAGTAAATGCGCCACAGGGAAGTATATTGTATCGACAGCATCTTTTTCGACCCTTGCAGCTTCTAACTTCTTCAATTCGCGTTCTTTGATTTCTCCAGCAAGTTCACGAAGTTTTCCCATATCTTTGAGTAGAAGTTGAGCAAAATCGATACGACGTGCAAGTCTTTCCCTTCCTACGTGACCCATACCGGAGAAGTTGCGCCGGGTGATTTCCATGGAAGAGAAACTTTCCATTTGGAGTTGCAATCGCTTTAAAAGAGCTGCACCTCTTCGGGCCTCCCTCTTGAGGGTCCAGTACTTACAACAATCTGCAGTCCACTCCCTACGTCTGCGAAGATTATAACGTTGCAATGACATTTCAACAGAGTTGAAAATAACTTTTGGAATGATCGGAGCACCTGAAGGAAGTTTCCAAATACCTTTGATTGGTTCTTCGGAATGGATATCTTGATTGTATTGCAGCAATGATCCCCGGGCCCCATTTAAGTCAATGGCTTCTGGATGTCTTCCTGCTTTACGATGAGCTATAGCCAACATACCAGCAGCTTCGTTGGAATCGGCCCACACACGGCCACGCATAGTCTTCTTGTAGAATCTCCGAGCTTCAGCAGTAGCGGCGACAGTGTCATTCTCCCGAGCATGATCTTGAGGCGAGTGTTTATCACAAAAGGCTTTCAGAACAGCGTGTCCATCTAGAACAGCCAAGGTCCCATGGTTATTCTTCATCTTCAAAAACAGACGAGCTCTGCGAGCACAAGTAACGTGGAAAGCTGTGAAGCAGGCTTTGTTGCCACATTGCACACATGCTCCCATACTTTGATTACAGATGTAACAGTTTAATTTCCACCTGCTTTTCGGGACCTTCTCAACTTCCATAACTGGTTCCATGAATGTAGTGTTACCAAGAGAAACCTCAGGAATCCACATGGCACAGAGTAAATGCGACCATTTTGAAGCATTGGTTTGCTTGAAAGCTCCATCAGTGTTGGGACAGAAAATACATGTCTAAAGACGAATTAGCATTAAGAGTGGAGATATAATCTCGAGTATGACTTACAGGAGTGGAGCGTCCAATCAACTGACACTTTCTGCACATCCATTGACCTTCGGGGATGAAAGGTACTCCGTAGCATTCTTGATGCACAGCCAAGTCGCAACCATCGCAGAAAACAATGGCGTTGGTGTTTTCACAATCTCCGTCATCGCAGATAGCGCATTTACTATCTTGTTCTTCTCCAACCTGAGCTTCACCATTAACGGCAGCAGCGGAGCTGGACCTTGGCCGATGGGTTTGAGGTGGTTTTGGATTCGGCTTTGGTATAGTTCGCTCTAGATTATGCCAGTCTTTCTCTATCTTAGTTAGAGTAACTTCGAAAATGTGTCGAGGAACCTCATCAACGCCTTCCGCCTTTCGCTTCTCATTATATTGCTGCAGCCATTTATCATCTGCCTCATCCATGTCATACTCAACACGACCAAGAGTGCTTCCAATTCCATCCAGATCCTCGTTGAAGTTAATATCGGAAGCTTTTATGAATTCTTGCTCAGGTCGAATGAATTCGTCACTTTCCTGATATCCTACATTTGCCATGGATTTATCAACATATTGATCGAATTCTGGGGTATCGAACTTTTTAAGAGTATGCGTTAGACGGAACGAGGGCTGTGGAAGAGTCAATTTTTCCTTCGCGGTGGTATTCATGACATTTATACCCTTTGGTGTCTTTGGCGTCTTCGGAGAATTAAGGCCGATGGATATTCCAAGGTTCGCAGCAGCTCTGGCGGCGTAGAATGCCTCAGGGTTCTTGGGAGGACGGCCAGGTCTTCTCTTGCCCCCTCCTGGTGTACCTGGAATGGTATATGGTACTAGAACTCCATTTGTACTAGGAGTAGGTATTGCAGGATTTGGAGTTGTGCTTGTGCCATTTTCACCATTATCAGCACTCTGTCCAGACTTACCATTCGCCGATCCTTCCACTAATTGTGATGCGCCGGCGGGTGTTACAGGTCTCGAGTTTGATAATCCCTCCACTGCTTCTTGACTGAAACACATCATTTCTTGATTTATGTCTAGATCGGGATGAAATTCTTCCCAACTTCGTTCCTCTCGAGGTTTGTATCCATCATTTTGCGCGACAGCTGCAGCAGCCTGCGACGATGATCCGAATCTACCTGGGGCAGCCATGGGGGGTTGTTGTGCGCGAGGAAGTACCGTCCTTGTTCTTGTTGTTCGATTATCTCTGCGAGGGTAAACTACAGGCTGGACTCCGTTCGCAGCGTTTTCGCGTCCTATACGACCGCGAGGTCCAATATAATTATAACCCCCTGGTCCTGTACCGCCGACCAAAAGTAGATCTTGGCCGTTCTCGTCCACGTATCTGCCTCCTCCACCGGGACCGCCTGGGACGTAACGACCCTTTTTGGGAGGTTCGGATGTTGGATTTTTGATAATTGGGTTTTCAAATCGACGATTTGAGGCTGACGCGGATTTGGGACGTGTAGATCTTGTACCTGAGCCACTTGCAGCTCTTCTGGGGGTTCCAGGTATTGGCGTCGGGGCCATGTTGATATTTAATTCACTCCGACGTATTTATGCGACAAGAATGTAAAAATGTGGACAAAGGTGAGTTTGTGCCACTAGTGCGGCAGTTAAAGCTGATGATGAAGACCTAGTGTTAGGTTCCGTGAGGGGCGAGGCGCATATGGATTCAGAAGCAATAAAGACACAATTATGCGCGTCTTTCTCTTGATAAATGAATTGAGTGATGCTCTAAGAGTGAATTACACGAAAATAATGTGGAAGATATGGAGGTTATCATGATCTAACTATGTTTGATGTAGCCAACATCTTCAGTATGGTAGTCGCGATGTGGTTGCCCCTTCCGATTAGGTTTAGCTGACATCAAGGATCAAGTCCCATTTTGAGTTTAGCATCGGAAAAAAGTATCAGGATGTTCCGATGGATTAGTAATCTACAGATGCTACACATTATCACCGTCCGTGCATGTTTCCCTGCATCAGCACCAGCATCCACCCGCTCCAGCTCCAATCATTGCACAATGAGATTGTGAGCATTGTTCGATTGTTCGATTGATTGATTGATTGATTGTACGGATTTGGAGTGTATACGATGAATGTCTATACAAACATTGAATGAAGTGCGGGTGCCTTCTCTAATAACTTCATTGCTATACTTTGATGCTCAGTACTACTAAAAGTTAAGTTCCCAACTTCAACGACTCTACCTACATGAGCATACATTTATACACAAATTTGGGGTATAACACCCATTCCTGCCACTGGGTATTCACATCTATATTCCATATGCAAAGCTAGTGCTTTCTATTGTCTCTACATGCATCAAGCTTTTGGGGTAACAGTCTGTAATTCAATATCCTACGAGCTTCAATATTCCACACTTCCTTTAATCTTTCATACTTCCTCCAATCTCTCTCTTCACATGCCACCGATATCTCAGAGATAATTTTGTTGTTGTAAACAACGTTTCTTCGTACACTTCAACAAGTGGACCTTGACGACACTCAGTTGTCTGTTTTAGCAAACGTCCCCAGTTTTACGAACAAAGTCGTTGTTCCATTTATTTCACACCAAAAGTTTGGTCTTGGGGTGTCTCGTGGTAGTTGGCAAATCCACCGCCCAAAAAGTAAATCCGGCATCAACCGCATCTATCAAAATAGAAAGCGAGAAAACTATTAGACATGTGGAAGATTTTACTTTGAGAAAGCTCTAATCGCATTCTGTACAGCTTTGATATGTTTTGGATTGTAATTATTACGATGTGCAGACGGGTTTCAATTTTTCAACCTCCTCAACACAAGACAAATAGTAGATTGTTGAATGCAGAGAAATTCAAGTCATTCTCCTTGAATTTCAGGGGATTTTTGGGCACGAAAGAGCTAAGTCCAAACGAAAGCAATATCAAATCGGAAATCGTTAAATACAACTCTATCTTTCTACTATTGCTCTTCGCATTCCTTGCACGGAGATCATTTCGAGTGTTGATGCAGTAAAATAGATCATATACTTCTACAATAGTGAGAGGAAAAGGTTCAAATAACGGAAATTTGTCGTCTTTGTACTAAAGTTCTGGAGTGGATGATGTGAGTCGTGAACCTGGCACTCTTGCTGCATGAGCCTGCATCTAGGTTAAGCCTCGCCGACGTTCCACAAATGCAATATTAACTTCGGTATTGCATCGAAAGAATAACATAACACTCATGTAAAGCTGTGCTTCACCCACTTTTCGCTGTTCATCAAACTTATTACATCGATTTATTGGTCAACCCCGCAATGGTATTTCAATCAGCCTATTTGACATCTCCACAATCTGTCCGAGTGCGGGGAAGGGCGATGATCCTTCACCCCACAACGTTCAATAGCTCGCATAATGACAAGAATCTTTTGTCACTAAACCCTATCGCTGTATAGATGAACCCATGATAGGCCATTTCCATGGATATTTCGCATTTAGCCATTAATTTATCCAGAGCTCCTTCTACAGCTTCATGATACGTACTGCATAGGAGTTCAGAGCTCCAGGATATGTGTTTAGAGCCAGTAAAAAAAATATAAAGAGAGTCAATTTCCGGTCATCATCTTGCTTATTCCAATTTCTTGCGTCTAAATTTCGCTATTGTGAAACTTCATATAATAAGATATTATTCACTATGGCAGTTGGGGCTCCCGCTCACGGCATTCACGATGTGGCTCTGCAACGTCGGCAAAAGCTTATGGGGGCCAGTGGCCCAGCGGCTTTAGTTAAAAACTTTCGAGTCTTCAGCATTGCCTTGTTCGCTTGCATTGGAGGATTGTTATATGTATGTGGCTCCATATGTATCCCCTAGATAGAAAAATTGATTACGAAATTAACTCACGCTGTGTGAAAAATAGGGTTACAATCAAGGCGTTTTTTCTGGTGTGCTCACTATGAACTCATTTATGTCTCACATGGGAAATTATGATAGCACAGATCCAGCAGATCAAAGCAGAAAAGGATGGTTAACTAGTATATTGGAATTGGGCGCGTGGCTTGGAGCACTCCTAAGCGGATTTATGGCAGAGGCATTGAGCAGAAAGTACGGGATTCTAATTGCTACCGGTATGCTCCTTTTTTTCAAGTCCCTATACGCAAAGAGTTTCAGATGCCTAGGAAGAGATATCATCGGGTTGAAAATGTTATTGACATTCTATGCTCAAATATAGCTGTATTTATCATCGGCGTCATAGTCCAAGCGACTGCTATCTCCGTTGGCCACTCCGCCATCTTGGGCGGTCGTTTCATAACTGGAATGGGCGTGGGAAGTCTCAGTATGATTGTCCCCATGTACAATGCCGAAGTCGCTCCGCCTGAAGTACGTGGATCTCTCATTGCCCTCCAACAGCTTGCCATCTGTGCTGGTATCATGATATCCTTCTGGATTGACTACGGCACAAACTATATAGGAGGAACTGGTGCGACGCAATCCGATGCAGCATGGCTTGTACCGATTTGTCTACAGCTCTTCCCGGCTGTAATTCTTTTTGTCGGCATCTTGTTCATGCCTTTCTCGCCTAGATGGCTAGTACATCACGGAAGAGAAGCGGAGGCTAGGAAAGTGCTAGCACAACTGAGAAACTTACCCCAAGACCATGAGTTGGTAGAAATAGAGTTTTTGGAAATCAAGGTCCAGAGTTTGTTTGAAAAGAGATCGATCGCAGAATTATGGCCTGGTCTCCAAGAATTAACTTGGATGAATACCGCGAAATTACAGTTTGTGGCGATTGGGAGTTTGTTCAAAACAAAACCTATGTTTAAGAGAGTGATAGTAGCGACCGTTACTATGTTCTTTCAACAGTGGACAGGTATTAACGTATGTGCAGTTCTCTCCTCCTATCAAGCCATAATATGTCAACATCTCATTAGCTTTCCACTAACACCCACTCCCTCTAGGCAATTCTCTACTACGCCCCTACCATTTTCGCATCCCTGGGTCTCTCCAGTAACACTGTCTCCCTTCTCGCCACCGGCGTTGTCGGCATTGTAATGTTCATCGCAACCATTCCATCTGTCCTCTACATCGACAAGTTAGGTCGCAAGCCCATTCTTACAATCGGTGCAATCGGCATGGCCACATGCCACATAATCATCGCTGTCATCGTAGCCAAAAACAGAGATTCATGGGAAGAACATAAAGCCGCGGGCTGGGCTGCTGTGGCTATGGTTTGGTTTGTCTTTCCCCACGCTCTTTTCCCCTCGCATACTTCTTCTTCAGAGTCTAACATGCAAAAGGCTCTTCGTAATCCACTTTGGCTATTCCTGGGGTCCCTGCGCCTGGATTCTCGTAGCAGAAATCTGGCCCCTCTCCAATCGTCCCTACGGCATCGCACTGGGCGCCTCCTCAAATTGGATGAATAATTTCATCGTCGGCCAAGTAACGCCTGATATGTTGAGTGGTATTTCCTATGGTACCTATATAATATTTGGGTTGTTAACCTATCTCGGAGCGGCATTCATATGGTGGGGTGTACCGGAGACGAAGAGATTAGGCTGTGAGTATTTTCCAGTATCCATGGGGAATGAGAGGTGGCAGGTGCTGTGTTATTTCTCTTTTTTTTTGGGTTGTCTCACGCAACTTCAAAAGTTCCTGAATCATACATGTATGACGGATTATAAGCTAATTAATCAAACAGTGGAGGAGATGGATCTAGTGTTCGGCAGCGAAGGTGTAGGCCGGGGTGATCTCGAAAGAATGGAAGCTGTGCGTCGAGAGGTAGGGTTAGACAGGATTCTTGGGGAGAGTAACACCAAAGGTGATGTATCGCCAATAAAGGACATTAAGAGTGATCAGGCTGAGAAGATTCATGAGATGTAGACGAAGTGGATATACATTAATGCATCGGATTCGCTGGTACTTTTTATAAGGATTAGGAAGTGTAACAGTTTTGGTATAACGGAAGATATAATATAGGTTCTAGGGTTGTATTCATTCGCTTGTATTAGGAGGTTCATTATCTATATGTACGCGTAAACACCTAACTCCCAACTGCCAGTTTGTGGTATATTCCTCTCGCTACGCCCAGACACGTCCCCCTCCATTTCGTAAAGCAACATCTCACAACAATGACCGCAAAATTAAAAGCAGAACAAAAACGAATGAACGGAAAAATAAGTCCCCGAGTTCAAAATGAATGAGCCAAAATCAATATCAGTCATGGCCCTATGTACGATCAAGCCGATGGGTCATCTGCCTTTCTTGCCTTCACGACATCCTTTGCACCTCCGTCTATTCCTGAACTACCTCCTTGGTCGTTGAGTAATGGAATCTTATCCAAACTAGTACTTCTTGGGTGATCTGGTCTCTTTGTCTCGCCATTGGTACTTAACATTTCTCCGCCCTCGGATCTGGGTGTCATCAAAGGAGATGTCATCAATTCGGGCGTATTATGCCATTTCTGAACTTCTCGCTTCATCTCCTCAAGCTCGTTTTGAAAACGTTTGCCAAAGACTTCGATATAATAATTTGCGCCGTTATAAACAGACCAGCAGAATACAGCCATGAGGAATGATGCAGACGCATATCGGTACCAGAACCATAGAGGGCATGGTAACATGGTGAGCAAGGCATACGAGTATTGAATAAGCATAAATGCAGGCTCTTGCATAGATTCAGGAAGAGCGAGAACCGCTTTGCCAATCCAGACTTTGGAGTATGATTTTAGCAGCCAGGTGAACGATGTCGGGCGACCTGCAGCAATCTTCTCACGGCGGCGGACAGTGATGAGAAAATGGTAAGAAAGTTGCCATATTGCATATGGGATAGATGACCACAATGCCATGGATAGCAGGCCGTAATGATTACTTGACCCTACCGGAGATGTACGTATATCGTAGATGGCACTGAAACGTGATTGTTGGACGGATGGGTCGATGAGATGGACAAGACAATGAAGTGTTACGCAGGGCATTATGTGAATAAAGAGAGACGTAACCTTGTCGAAACTGTGGAATACCATAGAATTCCTCCACATGGCAATCGCTACTGCGTTGTTGCCCATGGCCAGACAGTAAGTGCTGATGAATAATCGTTTTGACTGTGGAAAGATCCAAATGGAGAGAAAACAGAGGAAGTTTGTAAAGTAACAGAGATCCGCGAGAAAATAGTGATATCCCCGTTTGTGGTAGGCATAAAACCGGATGGGCATGAAGTATAGTAATTGGGCAGTGTACCACCAGTGGAACAATTCAGGATATCCTCCGATCAAGTAGCCACTAATGAGAACATTCAAGACTCCACAGATGAAGGAGACCTTTTCTCGAATTGTCACTGATTTCGTATCATTCCAATGTGTCCCAAGTTTGTCAACACTATCACGCATCCTCTTTTTATATCTGTCCAGCTGCTCATCGGCAGTTGGAACACGCTTTCGCCATTCTTCAACAACCCGGGTCTTTGCATAACTGGATCTTGTCTTTAACTTGTCTCGCTGCTTTCGAACCTTTTGGGATTGCGCGGACAGGTTTCTCTGTATCCTTTCGAGTTGTTGAGGCAAATCAAAGTTCTCTAGTAAGTCGAAGACAGTGATCTTATCCAAAGGAGGCCAAGGTTCCCAATCTTCTTGATATGTGCTACTTCCAGAGGCAGAGGGGCGCCTTGAAAGATGAGGACTTCCATTTTCGGAGGTTGTGTATGCGGGTGTAATGCCATCCTCCGGGGGAGAGCTTCCAGCTGATGAATCCCCGCTAGTAAGATGTTGTTCAGAAGATAACGAAGTTGACTCGAGTGCAGGCTCTGACTTAGAAGCTGGTGTAGGTATAGGTTCAGTCATTTCTGCTATCGAACGTGAACGGGCGTGAATTGGATCGTAAAAACAAATGCGCCTAAACGCAGAAGCACCTCTTAAAGCTATGTCAGCCATGTGTCCAGAAATCTTGTGCTATGCACCCGAATATTACAGATAAAAAGCAACAACTAGGACAACTTACAGAAAAGTATGCTGCTGCGGATGAAGAGTCTTAATATGCGTTTAAGAATGCCCAAGTAGTATTGACTACTGTTGATTTGACTACTGTTGATCGAAGCACATGAACAAAGTTCGAAAAGGTGATAGGTTATCAAAGAAGAGTTGGATGCTTTAGGTGCCTCTCGACTCGAAACTAGTCCCCAAAATAGATAGGTTTTGTTCTGGACCAGTTCTTTCGTGAGTAATGTTGAAGAAAGTGAGATCGTGCTTGCTTTGAGAGATGTGGTTGGATGTTGATGTCGAGATGGAAACAGACCACCTAGTTTATTGGTATCGAGAAAAAGAGTGAACTTCTGCTTGATCACAAGAGATTCTTTATTGTAGATGTTAGTTAGATTTCGAAGAGATGAAATAGAGAGATGATGATATCTTCCAAAAAAAAAAGTTGTTACTTTTTATTTGATATAATCGTTGTCTCCAATAGAAAGCAGATAACTTTTACTAGCTAGGAGTACAGTCGTGTACAAGCCTTGGAATTGCTACCAATCAATCAATTAAGTTGATCTGGGGAATACATTTCGTCATTGCTACTTTAAGACATAAGAACCCTGATTATCTAAGGAAATACGGTTGTCTATTATGACATATGGTGATAGAGGTTTTACAGACAGAGTAGATCTACGTTGACCGTTATCACCTGGTGGACTTTCAAATACACCTTGACTTTATGTCATGTGACCCATAATTCGCGTCCCGCGACTTTTTGTGATGCTCAGTAGAGCTGCTGGGAAAGTTGAAGTTAAAGTAATCGTAAACCTACCCTCTCCTCGCACCAAACTTTACCTCCATCGTATCGTTCCAGAAGCATTACCACTTGGTACGGATGCCATGTTAATGCGCCACTCTTAATTATCTCCATTTATTCCTGACTGGATCTTACCCTCATAGTTACTCTTCTTTCTTAACGCGTGCACCCCGCTGCGATCAACGCGTATAAGTCAAGATGGGAAAACTCATACGCCTCGAGCTTTTTAGTAAGATAGTCGCGCTGTTAATGCTATTGCTTAAGCTGATCATATGTAGATTTCAAGTCGTATAAGGGGCACCATGTACTCTTGTTTGGAGACTCGTATTTTACCTCCATAATCGGTCCAAACGGCTCTGGAAAATCGAATTCGTAGGTGGTTTGTAAAACATCATCAGCAGACTGCTAATTGAATAATAGCATGGACGCGATCTCTTTTGTTCTAGGCATCAAATCGTCTCATTTACGATCTGCACAATTGCGAGATCTCGTATACCGCGGAAGAGTATTGAAAACCTCAAAAATCAACGACGATGGATCCGCGGTTGACCCAACTGCCAATGGACTCGCAAATGGGGATGGGGAAGGTTCGGATGAGGAATCACAATCCCAAAAACCAGCGCGCAACGATCCCAAGAGTGCGTGGGTTATGGCTGTTTACGAAGATGATCAAGGCGAGGAACAGAAATGGAAGCGTTCAATCACAAACCAAGGTGCCAGTGAATATCGCATCAACGATCGCGTCGTCACCGCACAAGCATACAATGATGCCCTTGAATCAGAAAACATATTGATTAAAGCTCGAAACTTTTTGGTGTTTCAAGGCGATGTTGAAGCTATTGCGTCGCAATCACCGAAGGATCTGACCCGACTCATCGAACAAATATCTGGCAGTCTGGAATACAAAGCTGAATATGAAAGATTACAAGAGGAGGCAGAGAAGGCAGCAGACGAGCAAAATTATAGCCTCCATCGCAGACGTGGCATTAATTCCGAGATCAAGCAGTATCAAGAGCAAAAGAAAGAGGCTGAGGCCTTCCAGAACAAGGCAGTGGAAAAGGATGAAGCCATCATTGAGCACATCTTATGGAAGTTGTACCATTTTCAAAGAGTGATGGACGAGTCGAGCGCTAGCATTCAAGAACACCAGGAAAACCTGAAGGAGTACCGCCGTGGCGTGGAAAAGTATCAGAATAACTTGGATGCGGCTAGAGCAGAACAAGCCAAGGTTAACAAAGATGCTAGCCGGATAGAGCGAAATATTAAGCGGAAGGAAAAGGAGCTCGAGGAGAAGGAAGTTGAGTTGGTACCATTTGATGAAAAAATCAAGACTGTCACATCTCAAATCGAAATGTTGAGAAGAAAGTCGGTCCTCATAGGAAAAGAGCGGGACGACAAGTCCGGGAAAATTGCGAAACTTAAAAAGGACCTCGCGTTGGTTGAAAAGGCACAGAAACAATTCGAGGTCCAGTGGCAGGAAACTCTTAAAAATCAGGGAAAGCAATTAAGTGACGATGATTTCAAGGAGTACCAGAAGCTTAAGTCCGAAGTCGTCAAGAAGACATCCGAGGATCAAGCTAAGCTTGACAACCTGGTCCGCCAATTGAAAACCGACGAAGTAACCGCGAACAGTCTGAAAGGTAAAATGGAGGCTGCGCAGGCTTCGGTAGAAAAGCTCCAAAGTGAGTTGGACACCAGCATGAGACGCAGAGACAACCTCAAGGAGTCGATTGCCGAGACAACTAGGGACAGGAACGCCAAGAGAGAGGAGCATAACTCTCTCAGGTCAGAACGCGTTCGACACAACCAATTGAAGACTGACCTCGAAGAAAAACTTCAAGAAATTCTCAAACAAATCAAAGAGGGTGAATACGGGCGAAGAGAGGGCGAGAAGGAGAGAAGAGTCAAAGAAACAATAACCGAAATGAAGCGAATATTCCCTGGCGTTAAAGGACGGATCGGCGACCTTTGCAAGCCTAAGCAGAAGAAATTCGAAGAAGCTGTAAGTACAGCTCTTGGTCGAGACTTTGACTCCATTGTTGTCGATACGGAGAAGACTGGTACCGAGTGTGTGCAATGGTTGAAAGATCGCAAAAAGTCCCCTATGACTTTTATCCCTTTGGACAATATCAAGGTCAACGCAACAAACTCTTCGTTGAAAGGACTGGCAAAGGCCCGCCTGACTATTGATACAATTGATTTTGACTCGTCTGTCGAAAGAGCTATGTCTTATGCATGTGGAAGCTCGATTGTCTGTGATGATATTGCAACAGCCAAAGACATATGTTATCGGAAAAAGCTTCAAGTCAAAGCTGTAACTCTGGATGGTGTCATGATCGCTAAAGCTGGTAATATTACTGGTGGACGTGTTCCCGAAGGACGTGGTAACAAGCGAGCTTTCGGTGATGCTGAGATGGATAAGCTCAGGGCTCTTGAGGAAAAATATACTCGCGAGATCAGGGCACTAGATGCCAACAAAAAGAGAACAGGCGAGGAGGAGCAATTGACGAACGCCATCAACAACCTACACCAGAAGGTTACCTATGAGCAGAATGAATTGGTCGAATTTGAGAAGAACATTGCCAGTGAACAAAAGAAGCTAAATCATGAACAACGCCAATTAGAAGATGTAGAGCCCAAGTACGAAGAAAGGAGTGCAGAACTTGAAAAGTCTCGGCGAAAGGTGGAAGAGTTTCAACGGGCTATCGCGAAAGTTGCGGACAAGATCTTCTCCAATTTCTGCAAGAGAACTGAATACTCAAATATTAGAGATTATGAAGCACAGCAAGGTAGTCTCGAGCAAGAGGCTTTGGAGAAGAAGAATGAGTTTGAGAAACAAAAACAAACGTTGAAAAGCCAGGTGGCTTGGGAAGACAATCACCTATTGGAAATTAAGACACGCCTAGCTAACCTTGAGAACAACATTGAGAAGTTTGAATCCGACATTGAGGAATACGAGGCAGGAAAAGAAAAACTTTCGCAGGCGATGGATGAAGATCGAGCAGCCGTGACTGAGTTGGAGGATGCCCTTCAGAAACACAAAGAAAAACTCGCGGCAAAAACTGATAAAGTCAATGTCGCAAGGCACGACCTGCAAAAAGCGAGCAAGGGAATTGATGAGCGTACAAAATCCATCACGACTCTTGAGACGGTAGCTCAGCGAACCAGCGCGAACCGATATGCTTTGTTACGACGCTGCAAGATGGAACAAATAGCTGTGCCATTGACAGCGGGCTCGAAGTCTTTAGATAGTCTTCCTGCGAACGAGAGCTTGCAACAAGAGGACCCCGACGCCATGGATGTTGATGAAGGCGATCAGCCCCCCGAGGAAATTATCAACGATTACGGCATAGATGTGGATTTCGATGGGCTTTCAGATGACTTGAAAAATGTAAGTAGTCTGCAATATGTCAAGTTTTCTTCACTAACACGAAATAGCCCGATGACGAAGATGTTGAGGAGCAACTGCAAGAAAAGATTTCTACCCTCAACTCAGAACTTGAGAAACTCAACCCCAACATGCGAGCGATTGAGCGACTGGATGTTGTCGAGACACGTCTTAGAGATACTGACAAGGATTTCAACGCCGCTCGTGATGCTGCAAAAGCTACTCGTGATGCATTCAATGAAATCAAGGAGAAACGATATGATCGCTTCAATAAAGCTTTCGCACATATATCCGATCAGATCACTCATGTGTACAAAGATCTTACACGCTCAGCCACTTTCCCTCTCGGCGGTCAGGCATATCTTGATATTGAAGATAGCGACGCCCCGTATCTCTCTGGTATCAAATATCACGCCATGCCACCACTTAAACGTTTTCGTGACATGGAGCATCTATCCGGTGGTGAGAAAACTATGGCAGCCTTGGCTTTACTGTTCGCAGTCCATAGTTACCAACCCTCACCATTTTTCGTATTGGATGAAGTCGATGCTGCTCTTGACAATGCGAACGTAGAAAAGATCAGAAATTACATCAAGGAGCATGCAGGACCTGGCATGCAATTCATCGTCATTAGTTTGAAGACTGGACTATTCCAAGGAAGTGAGAGTTTAGTCGGCGTTTTCAGAGATCAGGAAGTTAATAGCTCGAAAACTTTGACGCTTGATGTAAGTTTTGTATTTGTTCATCAGAAGAGTCTACATTTACTAATATCTCAAATAGTTACGCAAATACGCATGAAAGTAATAATAGGGTTGCTTTTGTATACCACATGATGGAACTTGGTGCTGGTACGCTTTCAGTTTGAAGACCCCTATGAGAATCGGGTGGATGGCTTGACTCGATAGCTTATGAATACCAGTCATAGGTGGGGTGGGATATAGGAGTTAGTAAGAATATGTTTGCCCACTTCGATTGAATTGAATAATTTGCTTTTTGTTAATAGGTGGCTATCTATATTCAGAAGCATGGTAGAATAAGTCAATGTCAATTTCAGAGGCAGTTTTGTAGTCATAAAACCAAAGATTTCTCTTGCTGTGTTTCAATAGTAGCTTCATAACTGCAAATGTTCCTGTCACAATCAACCCTTCTCCACAGCTCTTTGGACATGATAACTCCTCATCATGTAGATTTACCCCAAACCACCATCCAGTGGATTCTGCGAGTGTGCCTTCAACAATCAACATGTATGTCAAACCATCCTCTGCCAATATACAACTGCATGCATGCCAATTCTGGGAGTTAGATTCATCCGCTCACCAGCTTTCGAGCTTCATATTCATCTATTGCAATCTCTCGGCAAGGCTAGCACCATACCAAATTGTAGCAAGGAAAGATACCAAATTCACCAATGAGGATGCCCCATGCATCTTTCCGAATGCCTTGTTTAACCTCTGCATTTCTCTTGAATGTGGCGCTGCATCATAGGATTTCTTTCCGTCTTTCGTTTCTGTGAACTGTTAGTCTTTTCCATCATATGCATCCAACCCCTTCATCCTATCTCTCACTCAACCCAATAACCTACCCTGGTGTTTCCTCTCCTTCATAATCCTCGTCGTAGCCGGTCCAATAACCACCAAATTCGCCAATCCCGTCACGAACATCGTAGCCAATGGCACCATAACACTCCATCTATTAACCTCGGCCAGGGTCCCTGAGATTCCTGATACAGTCCCCAAGTGTGTGCGCGAGCCTGGATAAGTTATTGCTAGCACGGCTGGAAGCGCAGTTTGAATACCGAAGTAGATTGGGAAGAGGTTTTGTTGGAGGACGGAAAATTGAGGACGTGGAAGAGATTTGTAGGCTACGATTCCATTGACGAAAGATTGAAAGAACTGGGTTCCGAGAAGGGTTCCATAACTTGAAGAAAAGGGTTGTTAGCTGGGTAAAAGAAGGAGGGGGAAAACATACGTTATGATGTGGTATGGACCGGGAGTTTTAAGGATTGAAAGTTCTGGCATTTTGAATGTTTAATTGTAGAAATCTTTGATAAATCTCTACTATCGTATTTGAGAATGTTTTAATGGAGGGGACAAGTCAATGAATGTTGAGTTAAGTGGCAATTCAAATTGCCGCGAAGTGGATGGATTGTCTGATAAGTGTTTACACGATGACGGCTTCATTCACGAATGCATGATGCCGTCAAACACCGAGGTCCGTCGCACGTGATTGCGTGATTCCCGTGAATTCAGAGACCCCATGGCGCGTCTGCCTGATTGCTTTCTGTTTGATACCGCGATTAAAACACGATTTAGTTTCCAAACCAACTTCTCCCCCTTTAAAATTTATCTCGTGTAAACTTCTAGCCTCTCTCTCTCATAATGGAAAAACAAGCAACTGTCTACGTCGTCGATTTAGGCAAATCCCTGGGAGACTGTCACCATGGACGCGTGGAAACCGACCTCGAATATGGTATGCGATATGTCTGGGATAAAATCACGTTGACGATGTCTACTGATCGCAAAACTGATGGGATTGGTATTGTTGGTTTTCGTACTGATGAAACGGATAATGAATTGCATAGTGGTGGAGAAGAGGGGTATGCGAACATATCTGTATTGAAGCATCTTGGTCAATTTCAGATGCAACAATTGGAGGAAGTGAAAGAGGCTGTCAAACCTAGTAGTACTGATGATGGAGACGCCATATCGGCGATTGTTGTTGCGATGGAAATGATTAAAAAGCATACTACGCTGAAGAGTGGAAAGCCAGGCAAGTATGCCAGGAAGATCGTTTTGATTACGGATGGCAATGGATTTATGAACGGCGAGGAGCTTGATGATATTGCAAAGGAAGTCAACAACAATGATATTAGACTAGTCGTCATGTAAGTTGTCCTTTTTCAAAAGATTAACTTTGCTAACACGGGACTAGAGGAGTCGACTTTGATGATGCAGAGTATGGGTTTAAAGAGGAAGACAAAGATCTGGTCAAGGTGCGAGGATCACCAATCCGCTGATTACTCTTGCAAAACTAATTATTAGTAGTCTGAAAATGAAAAACTACTCAGATCTTTCACAGAGAAATGTTCGGACGGAACTTTTGGTACCACAGCTGAAGCAATTGAAGCCCTCGCAACACCTGTAGTCAAAGTCACAAGAGAGTATAATACTTACACAGGACCACTCACTCTAGGAGATGTGAAGAAATATCCCGAAACAGCTGTATCGATAGATGTTGCTCGATATTTTAAAACAAAACAAGCCAAACCTGTTTCCGCAAAGAGTTTCGTTGATCGAGTGACAGATGAACCGATCGATGTCGACCTAACAGACGCTGATCATCTTACCTCAGTCACACAAGCAAGGACTTATAAAGTCAATGATCCAACCGCACCGGGTGGTAAGAGAGATGTCGAAAAAGATGCTCTGGAAAGGGGCTACGATTATGGCAGCACTATTGTTCCTATTAGTCAATCGGATGAAAGTGTTACAAAACTTCAGACAATAAAGGACTTCTCGATTATGGGATTTGTGCCAAACGATGTAAGAGCATATACTCAAGGCATCTTTATGTATGGGCTAACATCTTTAGTACGAGAGATATCTCAACATGGGAGAAAGTTGCATCACTATTGCTCAAAAGACAAACGAGAAGGCAAGAATGGCATTGTCGTCTCTCATCCGTGCTCTCCATGAGCTCGACTCGTGTGCTGTGGCTAGAATAGTCAAGAAAGATGGATCAGACCCACTAATTGTACTTCTTGCTCCCCTCATAGAACCTGGTCTAGAGGGACTCATTGATGTGCCCCTTCCATTTGCAGAAGATGTACGGACTTATCGTTTTGCACCTCTTGACAAGGTTCTCAATAGCTCTGGTGGCATCATGGAGAAGCACAAAAACCTTCCGAGTAACGACTTGAAAGCTGCGATGAGTGAATTTGTTGATAGTATGGATCTATCAACAGCCGGGAAGGATGATGACGGGTGAGAAGAAACTCTGGTAGCCTTGTGGATATCATATCACTGACTTTGGGCAGTGAAGCAGCGGAATATATGGCCATCGAGGACACCTACTCTCCTGTCCTTCATCGTATCAATCAAGCTATACGCAGACGTGCTGTCAAGCCAGATGAAGGCATACCTCCCCCTCCAGATGTTCTAACAAAATGGTCACATCCTCCCACTGAGCTTGTCAAAAAATCAAGTAGCCAGCTTGAGAAGCTAATCGAAGCAGCCGATGTCAAGAAAGGTACTTCACTCTCAAATTCTTCTCCAATTTTATTAATCTAATGATATCATAGTTCCTGCCACAGCCAAAGCCAAACGTAATAGAGAAGTCGTCAAACCTCTTTCAGGTCTCGATGTAGAAGCTCTCCTCGGCCGAGAAAAACGTCAAAAAATCACCGTAGAGAACGCCATCCCAGAATTCAAACGAGCCCTTTCAAGCACTGATTCCACAGATAGCGTCGTCAAAGTTACTCGAGAAATGGGCGATACTGTTCGTACACTGCTCAAACGAAGTACCGGGAATTCTACCTGGGACCAAGCTGGAGAGTATTTGAGGACTATGAGAACTGAACTTATTGAACTCATTGAACCGAACATCTACAATAATTTCATTGAGAAATTCAAGAAGCAACTCCAAAATGGAGATTTTGATAAGTCGTTTTGGTTCGACGTTGTGAGGAAGAATAAATTGGGTTTGATTCATGGGGGTGAAGCAGATAATACCGAGAAGACCGAGGATGAGGCTAGACAGGTTCGTTCATCGTTTCTTTCCTTTTTTACGAGAGAAGAAGCACAGCTAATCATGAATGCAGTTCTACCACTTGAATACTGGAGAGCTACCTAATCGCGGAAAGATATGAGTGATCAGAGATATGTGAAAGGAAAGGGAGAAATGTAAAATTTTACTCGTCGCAAGGATACCATCGAATTTGCGTAATGATTGATGACCATTTAACTGATTTGGGAAAGAGAATCGATCTGCTGAAGCTGGGTTCCAAAAAGTTGTACTATTATTAGTTTAATTAGATGGGATCGAACGCAAAGCTCATAGTCTTTTGAAGATTCGACTTGATCTCTAAGTCCAGGTCTGATTAGAAAGATGTTGTTATAACGTGATTGCGATAATGGCTAGGTGATGAAGATGTGTTATATGATTCGGGGTACTGACATACCGGGCATAATTACCTATGGAGTAGATACTATTGTACTATACATCCATACACCTTACCTTTCTATTGAATAGGTAAAGCCAATGTAGTCCTTTCTCACTTTCATCTTTAGATACCTCCGTTTGAGGAACTACAGGTGTTGAGTTACAATATTCGAAGTAGAACTGTCGTTGTACGCAAAACACGAAGTTCGCTGCAACGTGGGATGAATCGGGATGTGGACAAATTCATCAGATCTCCGGATAGGCATCTTTTCTTGCTGTTCATCATGGAAAATACTAAAGTTAAAATGCAGAACTCGATGATTGAATGGGTCTATTGACTACATTCAAGGAGTTGGCAAATACTTGCTCCAATAATCTAGCAAAATCGACGCAGATTGCAACAAAGAACACACTGATAAATGTCTATACAAGTTTGCATCCTCTGGACGAACTTAAGATGACAAGATTTCAGGCCGAGTTGCGTGGTCCCAATATCAGGCCAATCTTTGAGAGACATGAAGCAGCTCCTCATTCGATTCTGCTCGAATGCCTCCGACCTTCTGACTTTACCTTACCAGAAAGATCATGACTGAGATTGTCCGTACACATTTTGAGTTCCTTATCACACTTACAAGCCTTGATTTACAGCCAGTTTTCCCGATGGGTGAGCTTATTATTATGAAATCGTGAACGTCAACATTGAAGAGATCATCTCAGTTACCTGTAAATCAGAGAGACTTTTGGGCATTACATCCGAGAAGTGTATAAGCTACAAGCTCGGATTGGAAAAAAGATAGATACGTGTAGAGTGTCGTACGAATCCCATGCCTCATATCTCCCAACTCCCAGGATTATCTGCAGATCGCAGACCGTGTGCGCTAGTAAGAAGTTCCTATGATTATGTACGTCTACTTTTCATGATAGATTTAAATAAAACAACCGATAACATGTCATAACTTCACCCCTTCCACATTTTGGTCCATTGCTTGTAACATCTCACTATCTCCTCTCCCTTTTACGAACACCACTGGTGGTGTATAATGTTTCCTCCCGTGTACAACATATATCAAGCCTGCGATCACAATAACAGCAAACCAGACCGCCGGTGCCCACTACCAGTCGTTAGCCCATCTTGCATCTTCCAGCTTTATCTTTTCAGTTCTAGAAGATCAAGAAGTTACTCACATTAGCATTTCCAAGTGTGACTGGCGCCTCATTCGGAAAACAGCTCCAGACCATTACAAACCCACAATACGTAAAAGCAAATGCGTTGATCGGTAATCCAAACCGGCCTAAACTCCATCGCGCGGGGGGGAGAGATTCTCCCTGGATGCGCTTCAAGAGAACACATCCGATACTTATCATGTAAGTAGAAAGAAGGGCGAGGAGGGAGAGGGAGACAACGATGTTGAAAGCGAAGGAGGAACCGAAATTTATGAGACAGAGGAGAAGGGTGAGGATAGAGGTCAGATAAATGGCATTAGGGGGGATGTTGAGTTTGTGGTTCATCTGAAGGTCGTCAGAATTTCCGAGGAAGAGGGAATATTGGTTGAAAATTGATTAATCCTACCTTGGATATCCATAGCGAACATGGAAAACCCTTATCCCTTGAAAAGGCCCACAATTCTCTGCTCGTAGTAGCTAATGCCGTGATATTTCCAGAAAATACAAGTATCACTACAAGATAAGGGAGTCAGTATTATCAACCAAGGACAATTTGGGAGGGAAATGCGTAAAAATGAAGTGTTAATGCTGCATTGGGAAATCGAGCACGACATGTGATGGAAATTAAAATTGGAGTGTGATATTGGTGAACATACGAAGGATAATCATGAGAGCCGTGGCCATGGCCTCAGATCCTGTGTTTAGAAACAGGCTTAGATAGGGAGCTGGAGATTCGATTGCTGCGTCGAGGGGTCCAATGCAGAAGAGCATGGTTATTAGCGTAATAATGCCCAAGAAAACGTTGAGGATATAGCTCCACCACATAGCTCGCGGAACGTTGATCGATGCGTCTTCTACTTCTTCGGCTAAGTGGTATGTGAGCACTTGGATGGTCTTATCATGTGAGAGAATAGAGTACTTACAGATATGCACTGCACTATCAGATCCTATATATTCCCATTCATCAGCCACGAATTCAAACTCAATTTCACGATTCAGCTCTTCAATGACTTACCAAGATTACAATACAGCACGCTAACCTGCGCAATCAAACAACTCGTCCCTGTGTTACTCCATCCTCCATTGTTAATCACATCCAAAAATACACTTCTCGTCGAGTTCTTCGGTGCCATAACCCATAGTGGTATGATGGTTATCAGGAACCCTGCCAAATGTCCAAATAAAGAAGTGGTTTCAATGATAGGCAGGAGTCTTGCGCCCCATGTGTTAAAGACGATGGTTATGAGCAAATAGGCTATCATGATTAGTGTATATTGCCATGAGGAAAACGAAAAATCTGCATTTCGGATATCTATAATTGCTTCAACGAGAGTAGCAAGGACAAAGACGCTACTAGCAAAGCTGGCGATCCAGCCAAGACTCGACATCCAGCCTGGAGGGGATGGTTAGCAAAAGTGGAGAAGGTTGAGGGAAAGGAGAATAGGTATGGGGTGTCATCACCGGCGGTATAACTCAGGAACTTTTGATATTTTGGGGGAGAAAATTCGGAAACCCAGTGGTATTGACCTGCAATTTGTCAATCCCACAGTTCAAGGGAGTAAGTATTCCATGCAGCACTTACCACCGCTCGTAGGAGCCATTGACTCCATTTCTGCAAGCGACGCCACGATTGACGAATAACACATCACCGTCCCAATGAATACCCAGAACAATCCAGCAAACCCTCCATTGATCAATCCGACGCTCAGTGACCTATAGTTCTGTAAGGTGATTTATCTCATCGACACGGGAATTGTGAATTACGAACACCAGGACAAATTCCCATGTTGCCATGTATATTGAAATGAAACCGAGTGTTGAGATGAGACTGAAGTTTCTCTATAGCTCAGTTAATTTGCTGCTGTCATCGAAGTCATCTGTGCTGTAATATGCACACCTTGAATTCTTGCTTCTTTCCCAATCTAAGCATATCGTTGACATCATTTTGAGTTTCTCCATATTCGTCGGTTGGAGACGGCAATCCAGCTTCCAGGCCTGCTTCTCGTACCTCGCCATTTATGCTCTTTCGTTCTTCAGACACCTGTTCATTGTGTAACGTCATAACACCTCACTCGAGGTACAACAGCAAGTCAATTAGTTATCTCTAAGATTTCAATTTCAGAGAAAAACGCGTGAGAAAGATACGACATAAAGCGATTGTAAGTCGGGCTGATCCTTATTATTATTGATTTGTTGATACTTCTTTGATCTGAAAGTGGTCACATTGATGTATTTCGAAGCGGCAAACCGTATTTTAGTGCGTCCGCCAAATGCCATCCGCCGCTACTACTATTCCCCCACTCTCCTTAAGCTTCCGGGGTATCGTTATCTATCATTTGCAGAATCCTTCAAGCTACCTAGGTGTTGTTGCTTGAATTTAATTCGTGCAATATTTGTGTGTTATCGGATTCCCTGTCGAATTCTGCATACTCGATGCAATTTGCAGAAGCGATGGAAAACTTCTCTATTGTTAATATCTGTTGCTGTATAGTAATACTCTACTTACTCAAATTCATGACATTGGAACATCCTCATCGATATTTCCCTCAGAGGGAGCCCCAGTCCATTTGAAAACCTTGTAATGAAGTCTATCTTTGGCCAAAATCACTAATCTCTTCCTTTCGTCGTTGTTCTTGGAGCCAATTTGTGGTCGGATCATTATATATTCTGGGATAAATGACTCATCGACTGCAAATTCACTTTGCAGAAACCTGTCGATTACCTCTTCGTTGCTGAAAACAATTGCTTTAGAGCGACTTGCAGAGATTCTATGAGGTTGATATTTCATGTGGCCTTCGCCTCCAATACTGTAGAATATACCGAGAAGATTGCACTTCCCTACAACCATGTTAGTACCGAAAGATAAAGATTGATCAAGCCTTACCGTCGGCCTCCCATAGCACGAGTATGGTCCTATCGTCCAAAAATTTAAGATCCTTGATCTGCCCATTGCCAAGCTGCATGATAGAAGAACTTGTGCTGCGCACAGTGCTGATACCATTCTCGATGAGAAGCTCAACCTGAACGACTTGGACTACTTTCCAGTCAACCGGCACCCAGGCAAATATATGAGTAGTGTATTGACTGACCTTGATTCAAGAAGTCTTTTGGCACAAAGGCGACATAGCCATGGCATGTGTTACGATCCTACAATGAATCAGTGATGAGCTGCACAAATAATAGTAACAATACTAACAATTATTTTCATCTTCATCTCGACAGGCACATCTTTGTGAGCCATGCCTAGTTCGCTCGCCTTACCGAAAAGGACATTACTCTTTTCGGCATCTGCAATTTGAGTAAAGACACTGGTCGCCTGAGTCCTCAAATACTTGCAAAGAAAATCCACCTGTGGCAGAGTTTTTCTGTATTTGAGACCCTGCTCTTGCTTTTCTAACTGTCTTGTGAGCAGATCAAACATTTGAGCGCCTTTCCCTACATGCGCACTTTCTTCCTCGTAGTCTTCAGGTTTAACCTCGCCTATGAAAGCTGCTAGAGGGCTATTGGTCATCACTGTTTGAATGTACAGTAATACTTTACCGT